TGTCATCGGCAAACTTGCTGAGGGAATGAAATGACTCCGTCGGCCGCTCTGGGCCAGCCGTCAGCACTGAGAAGTAAAGGACCTCGTTCCTGCCTGAAACCAGCACAACTGGACAGCCCAAACTGTTCCCATAACGTTAGCTGACAGGATTTTAAGTACTCCACAAAGCCTGGAAAAGCACGCTGCTTTTCAGTCAGACCTTAATCCGGACACACCATGAAGTCACAGTGTCAGCAGAGGCAGCACAGGAGTGCGACTGACCGTGCGTGTTGTGAAACCAAACCTCTTCACGCTGCAAGTAACACCAGTGTGTTACATGGCCACGGATTATCAACTGAGCAACGAGATCAGCAGTCATCCTGCTCACGGCAATTTCATCCTAACCTTTAGCTGCACTTCACAATGGATGTCAACACTGACTCCAAGGATCCAGGACTTGGACCATCAATACATATGTGTTTTCAGTAAATGCCAAGAAAGACTGTCACAGTACCTTATTCCAGGGTCACTCATACTGTGGCCATGGTAACGGTATGTCTGTAACTCCATCAGAATAGGACCCTTAAAAGGAAAAAATACAGTGTTACCACCTTGAGTAACCAACATGTCGTCAGAGCAGCCAGTATTTGCTACACACGAACTGCACCAGCGATGGATGATTTTAATTCAGTATTTTTCCTGAGTTTAATTTACATAACATGATCACAACTAGTAAAATGAAACCCAGCGCGTGTCAAAGGAAAGCCCAGGTTGACACAGTAAGCCTTTATCCTTACGTTCTTACCGAGCAGCAGTGCACAATTCCTCCACATCCAAAGTGATTCCACCCTTACTCGGACTATGTCAAATTGCCTCTTGTGTCACTGAGAGGTTGAACGAGGTTGAACCTCGTTCTTCCTTAGGAGCCTTTTTCTGTTGTTCATTCCCAGTGCAAACATGATTGCACCAAATACTATAAAAATCTTCAAAACCAGTGTATGGTACCTGGGTGGCAGACACTAATGCTGACTCACACAACTCCCACCTCACTCCCCAGTTGCTGTAAGCACAGAACGGTAACTACTTTCCTTGGTGATTCCCCTAATTAACCTCCTCTTCACAAAGAGCACAACTGCCTGACAGTCGGAACACCTTTCACAACACAACTGAACTAGGGCAGAAACGGGTGAAAAAAGATGACAGTATCAGGATATATACATTTAAAATGCTTGGATGATACCAAGTGCATGTTAATAAATTCTTACAAAATTAAAGAACCACTCAATGCTTACCAGTTCAATACTGTGGAGTAACAAAAGGAAATAAAGGTCAACTAAAGTTGCAGCAGTGACTGGAAAAAATGGGCCCAGATAAGGAACTTTTGACACAGCCATAATCTGGCTACAAATTTCGCCAACGGAAAAGGTGTGATGGTTACAGACTTACCTTTCCAGATCGACAGTACTCAGCTGCAAACTTTGCCGCTTCTCGAACGCAGAGGACGTCCATGCCATCCACCTGACAACGAGAAACTACCAGTTGAGGCAACAAAATGCCAACCCCTAAACTTCCAGTTTCAGTACTTCCACAAATGCAACAGGAATGCAGCTGACAAATACTTTTTAAATATAGGAAAATTTCAAATATATGAAGAAATAAAGAAAATACACACATACATATGTACTGTGCAGGTGCGTGCATGCACATCCCCCCACTTCCAGCCCCCCCGTCAGGCTGTACTCACCCTGAGCCCTGGAATGAAGTCTCCCCGTTTGTAGTAGTCGGTACTGGCTGCAGCTCTCTCAACCGACGTTCCCATTCCATACCGGTTGTTCTCACAGATAAAAATACAAGGCAGCTTCCACAAGGCAGCCATATTGTACGTTTCAAATATCTGGCCCTGAAAGAAAAGGAGCAAGTTTCCCGCAGGCATTAGGCTCTGCTGACAATCATTCAGCTGCAGAGGCCTAGAGCTGGGAGAAACTGTAATGCTGCAGGTGACCTGAAACCAGGCACTTGCTGCAGCTAAG